CTCTCTGGGGATTGCTACAGTGCGTTATAAATTTTACCTTTCCAGTGTGCAGGAGAGGCGAGAGGAGGCTGTGTCCCAGCTCCAGGCCGGCCTGTCCCGGAGGACACCAATTAAAGGCACTAATTGGACAGCAATACATCAAAGTCGCTCCCGGGAGTGGGTCCTCAGAGCGCCAGGAATCCATTAGTTGGGCTTTTGTTTCAAAACACAGAAACAGAGAGAAAGAAAAAAAAAATCACCTGGACGCGAACAGGAGTGGCGCGTGTCCGATACCGCGTGGACTCCGCTCGGTGTTCGCTGGGAGCCTCTGGCTCTCCTCTCACTTACTCCAGGCTCGGCACATCAAATGATCTTTCCGCTTCTGATTCGAGCCCACCTCATCTATTTCCCTAAAGAGCGCCGCCTAGAAAGGCTCCCTCTCCCCTGGACACGCGCGCAAAGAAAGCCGGTGTAGACGCGGCACACAGTCCCACCGAGGTGCGCCTGTACACAAGTGGAGGGAGGGAGTAGAACTGAGCCACCTCCCCGCGCGCCTTCTTCTGGGCCTCCGCCTGAACCAGCTGAAGAAGGGGAAGTGGACACCTCCGGGCGGCACATGTCACCTCGAAGTCGTGACAGCCGCCTTCGAGGCGCTCAGATGCCAGCTGGACGAGGGGGTGACAAGGGAAATTGACCTCACTTGAGAGGGGTTATTCGAGGAGCTGGGAGGACACTTCGATGGGGCCTGGACAGTATTCTTATTCGGCAAACCCGCAGCCGCTCACAGGCCCTAGGGCACCCCGGGGAGCTACCGCGGAAAGGGCATGGCCGGGAAGGACACGATGGACCCCAGGGCGCTTTGGGTCCCGGAAAGGCGAGGGTGGGGGGCGCAGTGGAAGTGAGAATCCCTCCCCGTCGTGAACTTATAGAAGGAGACGAAGTGCTTGAAGAGGTTGAGCCTCCAGGGTCCAGAAGTCACCAGCTGCCTCCGCCCCCGAGCGATCCAGGTCTTCCGACCTTTGCGGGGACCAAGGCCCCCCAGCACCCAGTGGAACGCCAGAAGTCGGCGTCCGCGGGCCGCAGTTCCTTGTGGTGGGGCTCGGGGGCCACCCCCGGGCGCCGCTGAACCTTGGAGGCGGGAGTCCCGTCCCTCGCCAGGTGCTGGAGTTCGGGCACCCAGGGCCTGACTGAGGTTTCCCGCCGGGGCTGAAGCGGGCGAGAGCGACGCGGCCCCGAGTCCCCACGGCTTGCAAGGCGCAGCCAGGTGCGCCCGAAAGGGAAGACCTGGCCTCAGCCGGGTGGCGGAGAGGCCAGAGGCCAAGTGCGGAGCGCCCCTCATCCTGCGGAGGCTGCGTCCGCTCCCTTGCCTCGAGGAGCCAGATTGGAATGGCTGCTTTTGATCCCATTTGTTACTAACCCCGGCATTTGTTTTCCATTTTATAAACGCTTCCCTTTAAGTAATTGTCCCTGTTAACAGCGTATACCTTTCAGCAGCCCTCACTGCGCTATAAATAATCTGGATGAAGATGCAAGGATATGACTTTCACAAGATTGGACAATTGATTCAATCTGTGACCCGCGATCGCGAATAATATTGGAAGGCTATTTAAACAGATGAAGGCCTAAATTGTCTTGCTTGTATCTGAATTAATTTCTCATTCATCATCATTATGAAGTGATTGGTCTATTCAAGCTCTTCAGCCTGCTGGAACGGAGCGGGATTTAAATGAGATTGTAACACAATTTAAATGCTTGCCGACTTTAACGAGGCCAATTGAGCAGCTGCAATAAATACAAATATTTTTCTAAACAGCCTTGTTTTAAATAATTACTTAATGCTTTCATGTTATTTTTAAGTGGCAATCTTTCTCTCTCTCCTGCTCCTGCTCAGAATATCACATACTTATTTGCTGAGAAGGCTATTTTGGAAACGACTTTGTGTTTCTGTTTGCTTTGTAGATGGTAGTGTTCATTTTGTGATTGGCTTTTCCCCCCTCAGGGTCAACATTTCCAGGGTCCCACAAACTGGGACAAATGGTGAGCTGGGCCTTCCGTTCGCCCTAAGGCAGTCGATGTACCTCGATGTGCCTGCGGGGGCAGAGTGGGGGAGGAGCCGAGGAATGGAAGAAATTTGCCGTTTCTACCAAGTCACCTATCCAGAAGGGTTTTAGCTGGGTCTTGCAAACGAATCTGTGTGAGTGCACTTACAAATGACACCCCAAAGAGTGGCATCGTTTCTGATTTGTCCTGATGATCGTCATCATCTTGAACAAATCAGAATTCCAGTGTATCCCAAAGGTATCCCTTAGGAAGTTCAATCTGCCAGCAGTTTGGCTCCTGTGCAAGTCGACTGAAGTGTGTGGAAATCAGCTTAAGGTTTCTTTGTTAGGCATAGAAAGAGAAGCTAGCCACCATGACTAGTTGAGGGTGAGGGTTACTTAGAAGAAATTCCAATTTTTTTTTTTACCCAGCCTTCTTTCTCTCTCCTTACACACTGATTCCGATTCCTCCCTCTCTCACTCTGAGGAGACTGTGTATGGAAAGGATGCTAAGGATGAAAAACATCCCACTTTGAGAACGCCATCCGCCTGGCTATCCGTGGCAACTGTCCTCAGAGACACCCATGCTCTTTGGCAGACATATGGCTGTGGGTGTTTCCTTGATTGGGGGGATAATGGAAGCAACAGAGCGAGCGGGAGAAGCTTGGGGAACAAAAGAATCTTTTAAACTTTCTCAAAAGAGCTGGGGGTGGAGATGAATGTACATACATATGACTTATGGAGAGGACCTAAGTTCCTGTTTGCCAAGACTGACTAGGACCATGTCCCCATGGGAGGTGTAGGGTGAGAGATCTGCATTCCAGATTACTTCTCCATCCACCGAGGATGGAAGTGTCCCGGTAGTGCAGGTGCAGGATTTGCAGCTCAGAAGGCAACACTGCTGCTGATATAGTCACTACAGAAACCATTTGTGGGGGATGTGATCAAACGGCAGACCAGGAAAAAAAATGGGGACGAGGATGTAGGAATCAAGTGATTTGCTATGTAACTGGGCAATTTAATGCCAGAGTTAGGGAGCTGCTGGCCAGAATCATTTCGTCTTCGAAGGCTCTGCGGAGCTCATCCTCTTTATCCTGTTGTTTAAAATGAGCATTATCCCAAACATATGCAATGCAATCAGTTTGGTCACACTTACAAGAACACGCTTTAATAAGGCAATCAATCACTCGCTAACAAGCCAGCGACGGCCAGCGCTGAGCACGCACTCAGGCTTCGGGGAGGCTGGTCTTTCCGTGAGGACCATGGCTGAATGCTGGACAGCGCTCCCAGCTCCCCTCCCGCTGGGGTCCAAAACCGATTGAGGACCGTTGAGAAAGCGAGGCAGGAGTTATATAACAGACTTCACAAGAGGTGACCACGGACTTTGGACACCAAAGAGGCCCGGGGACTGAATAGGATAACGGCAACCCAAGGCTCATATCTGCTTTGGCTACTAATAACTGTGTGAGACCTGAAGCCTCGGTTTTCCCACCTGCAAAATGGGACTGAGATGGGCAAAACTAAGTAGAGGAGATCAGAAAGTTGAAAACAATATATCAATCCTGTTATTGGTCTAGCCACCTTCTCACTTTAAAGGTGCAAGGCTGTGTGGAGGGGCATTGACTTCATCATCATCTTCTACCCTACCTCCACACCACCAAAATGGAAGTATCATGCCAGCCAGGGTTGCCAGGTGTAGGCAGGCAAAACTTGGTTTTAGGTGTGGGGGTGGAGGAAGGAGTGAGAGGTGGTTCCTACAGCCAAACCGCAAACCTTGGCAAAAGGGAAATTTCATTATGAAGTAATGAGTAATTCCTCCTGGCAAGATGTATTGTTATATCTTCCACTTCAATTTGGAGGAAGAGAGGCTCAATTACCCAGAAAATACAGTCAATTAAAGGCTGCTGATTGGACACGAGGCCGGATCATCGATCTTGTACTTTCCAATATCGCTGCAGACACCTCATTTTCCCTCCCTATTAACTGAAAATACGCCTGGCATTACGGCAACCCATAGCCCATTTACCTGTCGCAAGCAATCTGGGCCCGACACAGAGTAACCTCAAATTTTTGCGGGGTTTGGCACCAAGGGCTTCCAAACTGCAGAGGGAGCTTCATGGGGCTGAGGGGTGGGGCAGTTGCAGGGAGAATTCTGAAAACTTTGGCATAAGATTTTGCTTGGGAGGCAAGGGCCACTGTATGCAGGAGCAGTTGCTCTGGCACCCACATAGGGATGGAGGTTGACTGAGAAGTCCCCACACACTCTCTGAGACTTTGAGTCCATGCAGTTGAGGTCCAACCTGCTGAGAACACCCCTCTCTTCTCAGTTGAGTAGGACTTCAGAGACAGCCACTGTGTTCTATGGGAAGTGAGGATGGAGATGAGGTGGCTCTGAGCATTGTCTATCTGCTTGCCCTGACCAGTCCAGAATTCTATCCTCAGAGATGAATCCCGGTTTTAGGCTAATTCATACTCTCCCATTCGATTCCAGGAGGCCTCCTCTTCCTGCACCCTGAAATGCTGGCCCAAATTGACTATCAACCCAACTCTCTGCAGTGCTCAAGCTCCACCCCCATGCCCCATTTGTATTCACCTTGGTTTGGGGCTGAAATGAGATCAGGGTCCAGGATTCAGGGTCACCTTTGCTCAAAGGTGTGGAACACCTGGGGAAGGAACCATCAGCAGGCAGGTGTGAGCTCCAGGTGGGTTATCACTCTGCTGAGCCAGTTTAGCCATGGAACATTTCCAGAGTGTGCAGGATTAAGGAAACCTTCACCCAGAGAAGCTCAGGGCCTTCCTTCTCCACCTCTATGCATGTCCATTTGGAGCCTACCAACGCCCAGCAGAAACTAGGAAGACTGAATCCATCTTTTCATTCCTTCCTTTACCCAAGCCCATAGTGGCTGAACTAACAGCACAAAAAGAATCAGTGTTTTGCCTGCTGCCAAAAAAATAAAATGCTGAAGTGAGAATCATGTCAGCTTTTATTGCAATATGATTAACAAATTGTAACAGCAAATTCTTTGGGCTTCAAAGGAAAACCAAACCAAACCAAATTCGTTCCTTACAGGAAGAATCACTCCTTCCCAGTTGGGGTGAAGCTTGTATTGGGGAGTATACGTTAATCTCTCCCTCAAAAACTGGCTGCAAGAATGAGAGCAGGAGTGAGTTTAGAAGTAGCTCCCAAATAAACCTTGGTGAAGGGGAGAGATGAGGTCCCCAGAAGGGGCAGAAGGTTCCCACTAGTATCTGAAAATCAATCCCCTTTGGTAGCTTGGGAGGAAAATGAGAGGAAGAAGGATGTAAAATGCTGAAAGCAAAAGGAAGGGTCAGAAAGCTCCTGATGAAGTGAAGGTGAACAAGCAAAGGCTAGAAATAGCCTCTAATTTGCTGCCAGATATTGAGGGAGGGAGATGAGGTCCCTGCTCCCTAAGCTCTTCCCTGGGCGCCTTGTTAACAGCTCAGCTCTGGGTTCCATGATCATTATTATACATTCAACATTCAAAAACCCTCCTCACACACATCACTTGCTAATCAGGGTGCATGTTGGGCCCAGGGAGAAGAGTCTCGGTAGAAGCTGCCAAGGGGCCCTGAAGCATCTGCAGCCTCCAGCCAAACGCCAAACAAAAACTCAGGGGTGGGGATGCAGTTGCAAATTAAGAGGTATCAGGAAACCAAGAGAGAGCAGAGAGATCAATCCGATGATGGTAGATGCTGGTAGATGCCCACCCCAAAAGCTGTTTTGTAAGGAAGGTTTGGGAAGGCTAGAGTTTCATGGGAGGGCCCGCATTATCTGTGGTAGTAATTCATCTCTTTTTCCCTCTCCCCTAGATGACTGTGCATTGCTCTCCACAAGCCCCTTGCCATGCCTAGGAAAAGCTGGCAAAGATTAATCTCTACCTGCTCTGCATACACAGCATTTTGTTCCGAGAGGCAGCAATTTCCCCTTGCAGTGCTTGGGGTCGGCCTTGGCAGGGGGGAGGAAGAGGTGTGAGGTGCTGAAGTGAGGGGCTGAGGGGCCGGATATCGGTAGCTGTTGCTGCTAAGTTTTGTTGGGCTTTGGAATCAAGGCCTCACCCCTGTCAGAGGCAGCGGGTCCGGTGAAGAATGGCAAAGAGGGGCCACCGCAGAGGAAGGTCTCTCGGCCTCTCCCTCCCCATTCCCACTCCAGATCCCTACATGCGCCTGCCAAGGCCCCCCTCAAAGCGGAGTCCCGCCGGTCCTTTGCGATCATCTTCTTCCCTCTCCGTGCCCAGGGAGCGGGGAGGGACGCTGGCTGAGTCCGGGGGCGGGGAAGGCTCCCGTGGGCGTCCTGGAGCCGGCAGCCCAAGGGCAGCCCCTTATCTGGTGAGGGGCACCTCCTCCCTCTGGTCCAGCGCGACCGAGGAGGCCTTGCTAAGCACGGAGGGCGCGAAGGTGAGGAAGGAGTCCGAGCGGGACGTGGAGGCACAGGTGAAGTCCGAGGCGGCGGCTGCGGCTCGGGGCGCCAGCCCGTTGGCGGGGCCGCTGTGGCAGGCGAGGCAGGAGCAGGGGCCGCCGGCCGAAGCGCCCAGTCCGTGCGCCGGGCCCGGGTAGAGCGGCGGGTGGCGGAAGGCGCACAGCAGTTCGGGCCGAGGGTAGGGCTGCGAGAGCACGCGGAACGTGTCGAGAGGGCGCAGCGGGCCGCTGAAGGGCGAGGCGGCAGCGGACGCAGCGGACGCGGCGCCCAGGCCCACCGGCGAGTAGTAGGGCAGGGGCAGGTGCGACGGGAAGGGGTAGGGCAGGCCGCCCGCGGCCGCCGCGTGGCTCATCATGTACGTATAGAAGGCGGGGTCCGCCGGGTGCGGCCACGTCATGGCCAGTCTCTGCCGCTTGTCCTTCATGCGCCGGTTCTGGAACCACACCTGCCCGGAGGAGAGAGGCTCAGCGGCTGCGCCCGCCCAACGCGCCGAGCGCGGAGGTGCTGTTCCACCGCGGGGAGCCAGGCGGGTGGGGCAAGGAAGAGCCGCAGCAGAGACCCACTGCACTGGGTTCAGATCCCACCACCAGCCCCTGGAGTAGGCGTCCCCTCTTGAGAGAGTGACCCTCGTCCCTGTCACTCCTGACCTCTGACGAAGAGGTCAGGGCCCCCTGGAGTACCAGAACTCCGTGTGGGTTAGCGTAGTGGAAGGACTGAGGACTCTTTGGGTATTAGAGGGCAGAATTTCCCCAGAAACACCTTCCTTTCCAGCTGCTCTCCCTTGGGATCCTCCTTGGGACCCACACGGGCACCCCATTCAGTTATCCATTTAGCTAGAAAGGGACAGTCAATCCCAAGGTAGCAGTGCCCACTCACTGACTGTCAGGAGCAGAGCATATTATCTGCACCTACCAGGCACCTGCACCAGGCCAGGACACCCCCAGCCTAGCTGCCACTAGCAGGGAGACCCCAGACTCCATTCCTGGCCTGAGATTTAGGAGTGGTCCTTGGCATTTACTTCCTATTGAGGGGGCAGACACCCCTAAACCCCCACCCCTATTCTAAAGCTCATACCTTGATGGTGGTTTCAGGCAGGTTCAGGGCTGCAGCCAGCTCACATCTCCGAGGCCTGGATACGTAGTTCTCTCTGTAGAATTCCTTCTCTAGTCGAGCAATCTGCTCCCTGGTGAAGGCGGTCCGGTAACGGCGCATCTGGTCACTGGCGCTGCAGGCCAGTGTGCCCTGGGAGCCGCTGCCGCCATTGCTCTTGGGGGCCTCGCTGCCGCTGTTTGGACTGCTGGCCAGTGCCTCAGAGCCAGACCCTGTACAGGAAGCCCAAGCCCATACACACACAGAACAGAACACACAAACAACGTTGATGTGGGGCATAGAGCCACCGCATGTGGAGGTGGTGGTGGAGACTCCCCCTTCTCAGTCACTGTTGGGGCACCGGTGACTTCCAGAACCCAGAAGGGCGGGCAGAGGGATGGGCACTTCATAGTCACTAGGGAGGCCTGACAAGGCTGGCGTTTGGTATGCCTCTAAAGACTGCTGGGTTCAGTAGCCCCAGGCCACCCTAGCCCCCACCCTGGGCCACAGGAGTGATGTTACCCATCTGAGTTTTCGGCCTGCCACTGCCAGGGATGGGCAAGGATGTGCATATTTAACAGAAAGTGAGTTGAACTGCACCTTTGTGCTGGGGTGTTGTGAACTCTGGGTCTTAATGCATTGTAGAATGCTAGACAGGAGCTTGCTTTTGTGTGTGCCAGGTTGCCAGTACAAGTACAAGAATGGAGAATGTGCACTGTGTGTGTGTTGCAGAAATGCCACAGAGTGGCTGTTTAAGCCTCCTTTTACATTACTATATTTCAGTGGAGTACAGGTTGTTCTAAAGGTATGTTAGAGAGTCTGGGTTGAGTGGATAAGGTGGCAATGGGTGGGTGTGGGCGCTCAACAAGATGTTGGCAGCCAGGGCCAGGGGGTGATTTTTCTTTCTTCCCAGGCTCTCCCCATCCGCTCCACAGCCTTGTGGAGGAGTATCTGCTGGTAGACTCTCCCTCCCAATTGTCCACCCCTCCCCGAAGACTCTCTTCCAGACTCTTCACTCCCTCCCTACTAGCCCCTGGCCAAGGAAGGATTCTGCAGTTAAAACTGTGTGACAGGCCCCCCTTGGGCCGACCCTAGGGAAGGGTGGGGCTCCTGCCCCCTGCAGCTTCTTTTCCTTTGGGTGGAGAAGTAGGACTGGGAAGGAAAGGGGAAGGGGGAGGGCCAGAGCTCTGCCTTTTCAAATGCAACCGGAGACCAAAGGCAATTAGATCATTGGGACCATTTCCGACCTGGCGCCATGGAGCCCGGGAAGTGACAAGGTAATTTGGACCTCTGACCGACGTGCAAACTGGCTGGAGAGCCCCTGCACCAGGCCGTCCCAGTCGGCAGCGATTTTACTGTCCTTTATGGACTCCGGCTTCCGCGCCTGGATGCGCCTTACACCCAGCCAGCTACAAACTGCCCAGACCTGCGTTTGATCTTGCCCAAGCCCCGGGACAGAGTCTTCCCCCGATGTCGAAGCAGTCCCACAAAATACAGGAGGGTTGGGGTGCACTTTGAACCCCTGTCGAGCCCCAGGGCCGTGTCTCCCTCCACCCTCTAAGGCACAACTGTCACCATCCGTCCCACCAAAGCCTGAGCACGGAAGACCCCTGGCAGGACCTAGATAACAGGGAAGAGTTGCTCAGGTGGGTCCCCCCCGCCCCAACCACCCTGTCCTGGAGGAAAGGAGCATCTTTCTCCCCTCCAGAGCTGAAATGGAAGGTGGGCGCGGTAGGAGGCCCGGGGACAGAAGAGGCGCGGTGGCTACCTTTGCTGTGCTGGTACTCCGCGTTCCCGGTGGCGCAGTCCGGGGTGCAGCTCACCTCGATTTCTTCATAGAAATCCGACTCCGTGTCCGAGCTACTGGGTTGCCCCTGTCCCGAGAGGCTGTCGGCGGAGGGGGCGGGAGGTCCCGGGCCAAGCACTGCAGTCCCGGCTGCCCGCAGTTCGGCGCCCGGCCCCGCAGCGCTGCCTGCTAGTCCGTCGACCGGCTCTTCCTCCAGGCCTCCCCCGCCGCGCTCTCGGACCGCCGGAGGACCGGCCCGCGGGCTCAGGCAGCCACGGGGCACCATCTTCTCGGGCGACTCGGCCAGCGGGCTCCCCGCGGCTTCGGACAAATTGGAGACCCTCTTGCCGACCAGAGTACCAAGCTGACCCCCGTCCAGAAACATAACCATGTCCTTTCGGCTCTCCATCCCGGGGGGCTCTGGAGGGGGGAGGGGGAAGCCCCAAGTGAGCTTCCAGCCCCGGGCTCCCTGAGTCCCCAAGCGGCCGGACAGATCTCGGCTTCGGAAGGGTGAAAGAGAGGCCGCGCGACCGGGTGGGCGCGGAGCGGCGGGAGCGCGGTGCCGACGGTGACGACGGCGGTGGGGAGCTGGGGTCACCTTGTGATGCGAGCGCTCCTCTGTGCCGCACCGCCTCTGGGAGGAAGCACCATTGCCCTCTTCTTTCTAAGCTGTCATCCTCCTGCTGCAATCGTCATTACAGTACCGCTGGTGACGCCACTCGGCGAGCGCAAGTGGATAAATAGAAACGTCTGCCACAGCGAAGATGAAAGGAGACCCGCAGCTAATGGCTCGGCAGTGATGCGCCAGGTGTGGGCCTCACTCGAATGGGGAGGAGAGTGTGAAAACAGAGAGACACACACACTGGGAGAGGGAGACACCCAAGCAGAGGGAATGCAAATGGAATTCCGCAGAAAGAAAGGAGAGCTTAACGCGCGCAGCGAGTTCCGTAGGGGCTGCGGGACTCGGTAATTGAATATGGTTTTCGATTCTTTTTATTGTTATTCTGGTTTTTGTTTTCTTAACTTGGCTTCTTGATCTAACACTGAGGAAGGACTCCAAAACTGCTTTCTAGAGGTGTGAAGGCGGACTCACAAGCCTCGCTTCTCTCCACATTATTACAACTGCCTGCCCCTGGCGAGCTAACCTCCTACGGCTCCAAAGTCTTTTTACAAGCTACCGAAAAACATATTCCCTCTCCGCCCGCCGCCCCCCCCCCCGCAAGTTTTCTGGAGAGCTAGGGTGTGGGGTATCCCTTCCTCTCTCTTCCTCCTCCCACCCCCTACCTCCTTCCTCCTGGGAACCCAAAGAGAACTTTGCTATTTTTCTCCCCCAAGAGACAAGAAAATGCCTTAATCTTTTTTTTCTTTAAAGACCCACCTTGGCTGCTGGATCAAAATGTTCACTGAATGTTTTCCCCTCTTCCGATCTAGGTGACCTTATGCATTCCACAGCCCACCTTGACCTGGAAGTGGCTAATCCTAGAAGAAATCGCTTTCTCATTTGCTCTGGCTCACCTGCACTTCAGGTATGTAGAGTGGGGAGAGGTTCTAAGAGTGGCCATTTTTCCTTTTCTTGCCCATATTGTAAGGTATTCGTTCAGAGTCAACGAATTCCCCAGAAATAGACTATTTTGAGTGAAGAGGTTCCATCAAAAGAGGTGCCTGCTGCAGCAGAACCGGAGACTTCTAGCTGGGATTAGGTGCTATTCTCACCTGGGAATTAGCATGGGGAGTGAGAGTACCCAGGTACTTGGTATTGGGGTTTGTAGGGGTTTGACTCAAAAGGTCACACCCCCCCCCAGGTTCTTCTGCCCAAGGGCTGCGATCCCCTGTTCCAAAAATGTGGGTGGTACTGGAGTGGAATAGTCACTGAAAATGCCCTGAAAAAGCAAGTGACTGGTGGTAAATTTGGGGGACCAAAAGGGAACATCCATTGCAGAGTTGGGAGCTATTTATAACATCGATAACTTAAGGGGGGGCAGCTGCAGGCTCCCTCTCAGGTCTTCCAGGAATGTAGAATAGAATCTACTAAGAAACAGACCCCCTAGAACTCTCCTTCCTCCAACCTCTCCTTAGAGAGTCTAGCTCTAAGCAGTCAGGCACAAAAAAACTGCCCCTATACCCCCACCTCCCTTTCTTGGCGTGCCAAGCGCAGTCTCATTTTCTGCGATTCTAAAGGAAAATTCTTTCATAACTATCTTTTTGTCTTTTTTCTATTTCCTTTCTCTCTTCCTTCTTTTTCTCTTCTTTCCTCCCTCAGTCTTCCTTTCTGTGGGGAGGAGATGGCAGAGGAAGCAAAGGATTTAAGGAAACAAAAATTCTCTCCCTGCTCCTGATTTTCACTTCTCCCTCAGTTCAATAAGATGTTCATTAATGCATGGGGTAGGGACAAGGAGGTCCAGAAGGAAATCTTAGTAAAAATATCTCCACTGCCCGGGCTCCCCCCAAGCCACCATCTGCTGAGCTGCTAGCTCAGAAATCTGGGGGGCTATTTTAAAAGGTGAGAGGAATAATTTCTAGTGAAGGGGATCAAATTCCAGAACGTTTTGCTGCGATGCAGAGTTGTCCCAGGGTTCTGCCATTCCCTGCCCTTCCCAGTCAGCAGTCAGAACCTGAAGGAGTACCTGCCTTGCTACTACTTCCTGTCAAAATGGAGACCCCCAAAGTCTGTATTAGAGTTAAGACCATCCACCATCTGTCGGGCCCATCCAGCCCTCGATCTGGGTCACCCTCAATCCCCCTCCTCAACCCCCTGCCCCCCTCCAGTCCACTGCCTTCTCACAGCCACCCCTCTGCTTCCACCTCAGTGAGGCCAGGTCCTCAGAGGGACCCTGGGCTCCCCTGCTCCGCCCCCAATTTTGCATTCAATGGTAGTGTTCTGCTTTTGATCCTCTTTTGCTCTGGGTTTTCCCTGTGAGATGAAAGCAGAGTAGGATTGAGAGATCAAGAGGTGCCATTTGCAGCTCCTTCTTGGGTCCAGCACAATCCAGCCAGGCTTCCCCTCGAGTCTGGAGGAGGAGGCTCAAACCCAAGGCTTAAACAGTCTGGGGGAGGGGGGCTGCCACCTCTGGGGTTCCACATAAAGCTTCAGGGGTATCCTCCCCCTCAACCGGACTCCCACATTATCTCCCTCCTGCCTCCGCCCTTTCAAAGCAACCCCAATTTCTCTGGTGTTTAGGGAACCTAAGGTACCCCGTGCGCAGGAGGAAAAAAATATTCTATCCAAATGTCACTTCTTTCAAAAGCATCCTTTCTGTCAACATCAGAAGAAGAGAGGTCAGATTCTTAACAAGAGGAAGAAGGAAACAGGGGGAACTGGATAAAATCACTGTCTGGAGGACTTTTTTGATTTTTTTGGCTTGTGTGGCGGGTGGGTATTTTAATAGCGAGGTATGGTGAAGGTTATCCCAGTTAAGGAAGGTAAATTCGGAGGAGTGAAGCCCGCGGCCACAGCGATTTGGGCAACCCCAATAGTAGCGGAGAAGCGGCGATAACAGCTTAAGTGAGGTCCGGATCAGCCCCTGCCTATTTTTTTTTTTTTCTCTCCCCACCTCCCGCGGCTGGGAGGGCCCCGCCTGCCGTCCCCACCCCTGCTGAGGCGACGGGCTCCGGGCCAGCCGGCTCCTCTCGGATTGAAATTCTCCAGACTTCAAAAGCTCGCGGCTCCTCTTCCGCCAGGCTGGGTTGGGCCAAGGGTAGGTGGGAAACCCGAGGAGGCGGCTCCGAGATAAGATGTGCGGGTTGTGTTAAATGGAATCGGAAGCCCGGCCTGGCCCACCAGACAAGCTGATCTCCTGGAGTCACTTCGCTTACAAAGAAAAAACCCCGCTCGGGAGAGCGGCGGCTGCGGGTGGGCAATGCCTGGGCAGCCTGCGGACTCCGCTCGGGTGTCACAGTCTGCGGCCCTTAAGCACCTTCCGCAGTCAGAAGTGGGGCCTCCCAGCAGCAAGCTCGCGTCTGGACCGAAATGAAGGGTCCAGGAGATCTGAGATAGGGGCATAGGATTCCGGAAGATGGCTTGGCTGCTTCGATGTCAGGAAAATTTTGATTCGAAAAAAATACATATTTTTGCTCCTTACTTTGGTAAAATATTAGAACAAAAGGAGCTTCTTTTTAAACAATAAGGATGGCCGGCTGCCGTGGATATTGACCTTGGACCTTCAGTCTTCTTCCAAGTTGAGGTGGGCTGTGACCAGCGATATCCTCCCTGACCCCTGTGACTGAGTCTTTTGGGGGGGGGTGTATAGAGGGCTTCCCTGGGTCAGTGAACCCTGCCTGGTCCCCTGCAGCTTACAGGTTCCAGCTCCTCTCTGGAAGCTGGAGCCCAGGGGCACAGAGAAATGCACCCCTGGGGGAACTTCGGTCCACTGGATGGATACCAGCCATCAGAGGTTGAGCTCTCCCTGCCCAGGAGGGAGCCTGTGGGCCACTTCCCCAGCCCTCTCTCCCACCCTGCAGTGGATAATTGAGGGAGGGAGTCTGTGGTGGCTAAAGACTGCAGTGGGCACCACAGAACAGTCTCTTCTTAAGGCAGGCAGAACCTGTGGCTTCTGGAACTCCTAGTTTGGACAAGCGCCCCAAGCACCTGCGACAAGAAACTGGATCCTTTCCTGACCTTGAAACCTCCTGCTTGACAGATCCTCAGAGCCAGCCAGTGCTGTGGTTGCTCTTACTTTATATCTGTCCCCTCTCCACTTCTGGAGTCCAGAACTGGGTGGCTTCTTGCCATGAACTACTGTCCTCCACCTAGGTGGCCCACATCCCACAGCCCACCACCTGCTCATCCCAGAGCTGGTGGGCACAGGGCAGGACTGATGTCCTAAGAACCTCCCAAGCTTGAGGTTTGCCTCTATCTTCAGTGACCAATAGGAAGGACCCATGTTCTGGTCAAAGCGGCAATTTCCTAATAATCAAGCACCCCAAAACCTCAAATATCCCTCTCCCCCACTCCAACAGATGGTTATGGGGTTTTCTTTCACCATTATGTCCTGAAATCTGCTTTCATTATATTGATGCCCATTCCTCCTGTGATCTACATAACACTCCTTTAAAATGTCTCATCAGCGTATCTCACTGCCCTTTCTCCCATAGTGATAAGGTGACCAGTGGTCTTGATTCAAATGCCAAGACATGACAGAGTGTCAGACCCTGTTGCTGTCTGGCATTCAGGGGTGCCTCAATACCCGTTAGTACTTTACCTCTCCATTGGCAATCCTCTACAAACCCTTCAGCCCTTTCTGGCATCTAGTGTCCAGGGGCTCTCAGAGAGGGTGCCTGCCAGAAGCAGAAGGTTCAGGGTCCACACACCTGACTAGTCTCACCTGACTAGTCTTCCACACCTGACTAGTCTCACTCTGCCCTCTCCCATGCTTTTCCAGGAGGGCAAAGAGAAACTCATCTGAATGTCTTGGGGTCCTGCACAAGAGCAGTCACTGTTCTTAAGTATTTCACCTGTATTAGTTCTTTCCATCTTCACGAGCCTGATGGAGATCATCTCTATTTTGCAGCTAAGAAATCTGAAGCCAAGAAGATTCATATATAATAGAACCAGGATTTGATCCTGTTTCTCAAGCTTGAAGTCCACACTCACAACGACTTGAGCTATTTAAAGAGTGTCAGGCATTAAGTTCTGAGTCTTTCCAAAAATTTAACTTGTGATTTTTTTCCCAAGGCTTTTCATTCTCCTCACTTTCAATGAATCCACAGGGGTGGAGGTGGGGCACAACCAACCTCTGACCATTCAATTTGGGCATGAAAGAGAGTAAAGCAAAAAAAAAAAAAGTCAAAACCATTTGGAGAAGACCTCTAGGCCTTGTCCTCTTTTAGGGATCAGAGGCTGGGTGGGGACTTTGCAGAGACCTGCAGGGAGACTGGAATCACCCTTACGGATGTAGGTAGGAGAGACATTGCTCTACCGAAGCATATGGGACATCTTCAGGGTCTAGGTCCCAAAATAGCAGGCATGTCATTGCAGCAGCTGATTCTGTAGACCCTAAGAGACAAAATCCAGTCCCTCTTTGACCCTGTGTACCCTCTGGAAAGAGACAAGGGTTACCAATCAGTTTTGATCTCTTGGGGATCACAGCCCCATCACAGTCTGACACCCCTCTCCTCAGAAAAACTACACAGAGGTATAGAAATTGGCCTTCAGTTGCTGATATTCTCCTATACCCTACAGTCCCTCTAGAGTCACCATAGCCTAGGCACAATGGTCTAACCCCTCTGATGGGGGGGTGGGATTTTATCAGCAGCTGCCTCCCTCAAACTGTCTTCCAGGATTGATTGCTCTCAGGAACAAAAGTTGACATTCCCGCAGCATTCTGGCCTGGGTACATTTTCTGTTCAAATTTTAGGTAAAGCCTACTGGGGCTTCTCCAGTTAAAGGCAGTTTGGGGTTGCCCTTCCCTTGAGATAAGGGGGGTGGAGTGCAGGCAATGGAATGCGAATACAATAGGTTCTTTTCCCATTGGGGTTGGGGGAGGGAGGTCAGTAAGTTTTCTGTTTTATTTTCAATAGATTTTGCCTGGGTACATAACATTTCCAAGCGTTGGACTGCCCAAAGGCCAGAGGAACCTAACAGCCCTGCCCATTCCCCAACAGAACCCCCCTCCATTCACCCTTCCTTCTGGAAGAGGAAATTTGCCCACTGCACCACCCATCAGGGTGGTTCAACGCGAGGATCCGGGATCCCTGTCTGATACAATCATTACGGGGGCGGGGGGAGGGGATTTGACTCAACTATTCCAACCATTACCCGGTGGGATTTGCCTCAGCTATTCCTAAATGGCCCTGCATGCTTGCTCCTGGGTTACTCCGTCTCTCTGTGTTCTCTGACCGTGCGTCTCTCCCGACTTCCGGACCAAGGAGGAGACTGCAGCCGGTTTCTCTCCCCTCTCCTCCTCTCGGGCCGGGAGACGCGGTGGCGCCAGAGTGCAAGCGGAGGTGGGGTGGGGGGGTTAGGAAAACCGCCACCAGGCGAAGAAGTCCTACCGGTTGGGCGGGCTAAGCCTCTCCCTCCCTCGTAATGGAAAAACCCTTCTGTAAGGAGTTAAGGGGAGCGACTTTTATAGAGCCCCCTCCCGTCCAGGATGAGGATTAGTCCCTTTTTTCCTATAGAGCTTCACAGAGTCCCCATGGACTACAGTTCCTCCTGCTGAGTAAAGAGGAAAAGGGATTCTCAGAGAGGTTGAGGAGCTTGCCCAAAGTCACACTGCCGGGAAGTGGCAGAGCTGGGATTTTAAAGCAACTCATTGGGTCTCCAAAATCTAGATTCTCGCTCTGATGTTAGACCTGCGCCACCAGGATTGAGGATTACGTTCCCTGACACCGCAGACAGACCACTGCGGTGCCGGGGTACGGTTGAAAGACCCGGACAGGAAGCTCCCTTTCCAGGTTGGTGGTGGAGGGGCCCCTGCAGCCCGGAGCCGTGAGAGCCACGGGAGGGGGCCAGCTGGGGCTGTTACCGTAAGTCTCAGAGGAGCGGGACACCACGGGAAGGGTGGCCAAGACAAGGAAGGGCCGGAGGGCGCCGCGACGTGGAGGGATTATGCGCTCCGGGGCCCGAAGGCCGGCGGTGAGTAAAGGCGCGCGTGCGCGCGGTGGTGAGCTCCCCACGGTGCGCTCTTCGTGGGATCAGGGACTCGTGGCAGCGGAGGGAGAGTAGGAGTGATGACGGCCCAGAAAACAGGATGTCACCAGCCCACCATGGGAGTGCCCGCGCAGTCTGGACCGGGACCTGTAGACCCAGTCCCTTCTGCTCCTTCCTGCTCTCCTGGGCCGCTTCAGGGGCGACCGGGGCCCCCAGAATGTAACTTTTCGACGCGGGAGTCGGTAGAACGCCGGGTATGGTCCCCGTGGCCCCTTAAAGGACCCTCCTTCCTTCCCCGCCCCTCGCCGCCGCTGTGACAAAGCGCGGCTCCTGAACTGCTGTCTTGGTGCGCCCCCCACTGCCGACCGCCAGAGGCGGAAGTCGGGGCGCGTGGCGGAATCCCGGCTGGCAGCGATCCCGCGACCCTGCTGGGGGCTGCAACCCAAATTCCCCATGCCCCTAGGGGAGCCGGCCTTCACGCCATAGGGAGCCATATATTGTCCGTTGCACCCGCCACCTGAGCTGAACCCCAGAGGAATGGGCTGAGGATCGGGGCGCTGAGCCTCACTTGCTAAGAACGAGTTACTAACTATCCGTGAGCAGGTGAGGGACTGGAGGAAGCTGGTAGTTCTGACGCGCTACGCACCCCCTCTTCTGGGAAGAGGTGCAGAACCTCCTAAACCTGTCGACATTTGCAAAAGGAGAGTGTTTTACAGATGGGTCATGTCCCCACAAAAGCGTCGATCCGATTTGTCTTGGCGCTGGAAATCCAGAGGTTGGGGAGCCCCTTGATAGTCTGTCTTCGCAGTTCTCGAAGTGATTCTTATTTGAATCTCACTTAGTTCTGAGGTTCATTAATAAACCACATAACCTGGAGGCAGATCTCACATTCCCTTTCATGGCATTTCTTCACTGTGGTCCCCAAACCACCTAGAACTTGTTAGAAATGTAAATCCACGCGTTCCACTCCAAACTTACTGAATTAGAAACTGTGGGTGTACCCAGCTGTATCTTTTAACAAGTGATTTTGGTACATGCTGCTGTTTCAGAACTGCTGTCTATGGATTCCATCACGCTGGTTTCTAAATTCCGAATCTCCACTATGCCCAGAAAGGCTTTTATTAAGTGCACCTTTTATTTTATTTTTTTAAATATTTATTTATTTATTTATACAAGCACTGGGTACAGTCAGAAGCGCGGGAGGGTGAGAGAGTTCACCAGAGCCAGAGCGGGGAGCAGAACAGGCAGAAGGACCGAAGTACACTGCTGAGGGGAGCAGCGGGCGGCAGGAGAGGTCTGCGCGCCATGTGGGATCCTCCTCCGGTGGCCGGGGAGCAGCCGGGGATCGAACCAGCCCTGCAGAGGCTACGGGCAGCTTCGCAACCCAGCGCTCAACCGCGGAGGCCCTAAGTGCACCTTTTAAAAAAATCCTCCGGTGCAGAGCCTTAGGTGCCTGTTACCAATGTTTGTTCACCCCTGTTATTTCCACTTTATTGCAGCCATGTATCTCTTTGGGTACTAAGGTATTACATAATGATGTCATCATGTGATTTAGCTCCTCAATCATTCTCTCCTTTATTCACTGCCTAAGGTCATGCCTAACTTGGTGGCAGAATAGGAAATGCTCTGGAAGCACAGCAGCTGGGGTGGAGTGAAAAATTCGCCTTACCCAGAGATTTCCCTCACAAAAGGAATCATAGGCCTTGAGCTGTGATTGACTTGCTGGTTCCAGAGTGGAGAGGAGCAGATCTCCCATGTCTGGGTACCCCTGACCTGGTAGAGAAGAGGTAGAATGAAAGGAAGGAAGGTGAGGTGTAGCTAGAGGTTTTCTAGGTGCTCCCCAAGAACAGGGCAGGGGCTCAAAGGGGTTCTGCCAGCACCTCCTAGGCTCACTGTATCCCCTTAGGCTCAAGGCTTTACCTTTCTTTTTGATTATCTCATGGTGATTTCAGCATTTTGCTGTAGCAGATTAAAAGAAAGTAGCTTTAGTAGAAGCCATGTACTTATAGATAAAGAGGCTTTTCGTCTTGTCAGATTTGTCAAGTATCAGACATACTCTGGGATGCTATTTAATAAGTTAAAGTTACAGTAAATGTTATAAATTAGGTAGCATGGGGCCCAGGTGCCACTAAGAATACCCAAGAATAATAGCTAATACCAAAGAATAAAGGTAATTATAAACATATCCTGTGTACCGGGAACTATTCTAAATGCTTTGCATATATTATGTCCCCACAATACTGAGTGTCCTTACCTGTCCTATGTCCTGCATGTCATATTAGGCAAAATGGAGGAACCAAGTGAAAAAGGAGTAAAATGTTTACACAAGATCACACAGCCTATTAGTGGTACAGACTGTATTTGAATCCTAGCAGTGTTGTGCTGGAGGCTCGGCTCCTATGCCCTGCATTCAGTCTCTGCTTGTAGATGTTAGCAGTCATGTCCTGTGATCTCAAAGGATTTATTTCATTTCCAAAGGTGCATAAAAAGGAGCTAAAGCCCTGGAAGACTACTGTGACTTCACCAGGCATTTCTATTACTACTATTAATAATAATAAACTGTTGAATGGTCTTTTCTTATTCAGGTAACATTTTCCAACCCACTGTCCCATTTGATACAATAATCCTGTGTAACAGGAAGAACAGCTATTAATAGAATGCCCATTTTATAGATGAGGAAACTGAGGTCCAGAGAGTTAGGTACTTCCCCCAGTATCCCTCAGCTAATGAATGATAAAGCAAGGAACACTCCTGTGACTTCTTTGTTTCTTTTTTTCTCTTCATTTTCATTTCAGACACACAGTCATTTATCATTATACCAATCCTGATATCTCTCTATTAGTTTAGACTGCTTCAAAGGACTTCTCCGTCCAGTATTGTGTTAGCTTCTCCCCTCAAATGAGGTAGCCCCGTCTAGAGTCATTCTTTCCAGTTTTCATTTAAGGAAGCCAAGATTCTGAGAGTTCAGAGGACTTGGCCAAGATCACAGAACCACTTCAAGGGTCAAAAGTCTCATACTCTTTTTTTAAAAAAAAAAAAAGATTTATTTATGCATACAAGAACTTGGGTACAGGTGGGGGGGGGGGTG